GGAAAGGGGGGAGTCATCTGCTGGACCAATGTTGTACTGGAGGGCCAAAGAGGTTTCCTCTCTTTGGGGAAGAAGTCAGAATGCCTTGCCTAGAGGGTCAAGTGGGCAAAGACTAAGCTCAAAGCAGAACTGCTTTGTGTGGGATCACATAGCCCCCCGTGGCTTGCAGTAGAGGCCATGGGAAATCTAGTGGGAGGTCCTGTTTATTCAAGCCAGGTGGGGTGAATGAATTCATTGCTAGGAAACCTGATCGCTGCTGGGCAGGATGGAGTGTTGCCCAGAATCCTCGTGTCGTCCACAGACACACATGCAGGACCAGAAGCCGAAGGGTCACATTTCCAGACAAGAAATGGACCCCAGGAAGTGGTAGCACAGCCAGCAGTTGCCACAGTTGCCATGTTGGGTCTCTGAAGGATATGTGTCAGCATCTAAGGGACAGTCACTAAGATACATTAAAGGGGCTGAACTGCTGCTGATTGGCTTAATACTTTGTTAACACTGTTCTGGCACTAGATACTGTATAGAAATCTCAGCCAACAATTTTGTATTGATAGAAAAAAAAAAAAAACCTTGAACCCGGTGTTGGCACATTGTAACTACTATGTTTTCTTTTTTTGAGTTGGAGTCTCACTCTGTCATCCAGACTGGGGTGCAGTGGCTGCTCCCGGCCACTGACTGCAGCCTCGACCTGCTGGGCTCCGGTGATCCTTCCACCTCAGCCTTCCAAGTAGCTGAAACTACAGGTGTGTGCTACCACACCTGGCTGATTTTTTGATTTATTGTAGAGATGAGGTCTCACCAGGTTGCCCAGGCGGGTCCCGAACCTGCAGGCTCAGGCAATCCACTCACCTCAGCCTCCCAAAGCACGAGATTACAAGCTGAGCCACTGAGCCTGGCTACTACTATGTTTTCAAAGGTGGAAGTCGCTTTCCCCATGTGGCTGGCCAGTGTCTCTGTAGATAGTTCTGGAGCCCTGAAGTGAGAGGCTCTTTTGAGGTACCTTGCGTTCTTAACTTCAAACCTTGCCATAAAGGAGAGGGACCCACTATATTGGCCAAGTCCATGTCATTGAATAATTTAGCTCATTAACCAAAGGCTAAATAAGGTTCGTGTTTATTCTTCAACATAATACATGTACATGATTGTCAATATATCTTCACAAGGCAAAGAAACAGAGTTGAATGAAACTATGTTCAGAAATAGAAAACATACATGATATATGCAATCACCACATTAAGAATCCATTTTTATTTCTCGTTTACCCCAACAAACCTCATCAGAAGGACTCACCAATGTCTGTCAGTTGGGATGGCACCAAAATACACACTAGTCAGCACTTTGCACTCAGGTAACAGATGCATTCGGCTCTTTTGAATGGAGGTGAGTTATAAGCCTTCATGGAAGGTGAAACTGCCCATAGAAAGACCACTTATGCAAAACATAGCCCACTAAAGTGGAGCAAGGCGAAGGACAGAGCACTTCTAATGTAAGAAACTAGACTTCAACTATGCAAGGAAGTTATCTTAATTTGGGAACCCAACATCTAGCCAATCCCTTTAAAACAGAAAGAAATTTACCTTCTGAAAATAAATTTGTTTTATTTCAGAAAAGCTTTAGAGGAGCATCGTGATGGATAAGAAGGTAGACTTTGACTCTAACTTAAGAAAAAGAGAAAGTAAACAATTAGAAAGAAGCAAAGCGAGATCCTCGTGATTAGTGAGATGTGAGCTTCAGTGACATTGAGCCCACGTGGCCGGGCGTCAGAGAACTGAACAAGTCTGCTGACCACAGCATGCGAAGGGTCCTGCTGCTTCCTCTTGCTTATGCTTTCACAGGTGGATTCTCCAACTGAGGTTCCATCGTTTGGCATCTGGTGCCAACTAACCAAGCACACATATGCATACTGCACCCCTGGTCAACAGCCGGGGGAGGGGCAGCAGAAGTGGACGGGACAAAAAAGGAATGAAATAAAGAGCAGAATTCTGTTCCTAGTATCAAATCCATGTTTTGATTCTAAAACAAGAAAAAAATTGCTATACTAATTTCCATAAAATGGCTGAAGATGTAAGTATTCACACATCTTTCCAAGCATATTCACACCAAATGGCAGCATGCCTATTTACATTTTTGAGGGAAAAAAGCAAATTAATGTCAGGTCAGACAAAATGCAACTAAAAACAAACCTCTGGTACTCAACAGACATAGACATGTTACCCAATTTCAACCTAGAAAGCTTTCCCCATGTGAATTCAGGTGATACTCCCTTCCAGAGCTTTTTCTGCAACATATGGAGGCCTGAACCCTCTTCTCTAGGATTTTTAAATAGCAATAGATTCTGGGTAAGTGTTGGTGCCTTCCCAACACTTTGCCCAATTATGAATTTGGGCATGCATTTGCCTTCGTAATTTGTGTGGTTTATTTCTCTCCAGGCAGTGGGAAGTGTGTGTTGGTGCTTAATCTCCTCCAATTGCTAAAATCATGGGAGTTGCCCAGTGAGTGAGCGAAACCATAGTGTCCATTAAGAGGGCAGAGGAGAAATGCAGTCTGGCAGATCTGAATGACATCTTTGAAAAATAATGACAATAGCCCTTGTCTAGGCAGATGCAGCTTCTCTGGGCTATGCTCACAGCTGACTGGATTCTTCAGCTTTACAAAACCCCCTCTTTCCGCTAGAGTGACAAACCACTGAGTCACTGTGTTCACTGGAGCAGCCACACATGGGCGTGGAGTAGGGACAGGATGAGCACTACAGTGACACTCTTCTGGTGCACGTAACTCTAGACTGTAATCATTGACTCTGCAACACAAACCATCCCCAGAGCTCATACAAAGGCACCCACTGGCCTGGAGATGACTTCCCATCCAAATGTGGAAATTTAACTACAGATCCAAACAAGATCCATTTTCAAAGTAGAGTCTCCTTTTTAAACCTCAAAACAAAACAAAATCACACCCACTAACTGCAGGGTCATCAGTGGACTAATTTGGCAAAGAAATCATGCCTGTATTTGGTCTGAGTGTTCTCTCGCATGCATGGCAAGACCCGGGGAAGTTCATCTGCCAGTGTGAGTAGAACGGAAGTTGTAGCCTGCAGGTCACACAGAAGACCTCCACTCGACTTGTAGAGAATCCATGCCACAGAACAGAACACACCCTTCCATGGGGTATTCAAATCAGACCCTGTGTCCTACTTAGCATCTGAGTGAATGCCAGTGCTCTGTGGTCTAACTAAGTACTAATGCATGCCCTGGCTTGTATTTTTCCAGACTCAGTGAACAGCATTGGCTAAAGATAGCACAGTAACAGAACACTTCAGGCACAGGGATTTGTGTGTGTGCTTTTTTTTTTTTAAAAAGAAAACTAAATTAAACATTTAAAGCATAGCCTCATAACAGGAACATGAGAAACCAGCCTTGGATAAATGCATAGCCAAAGGAGAAAGATAAATGCATCATAATGTAAGAGAAAGACTGGAAAGGAGTGGGTTTTACAGCTGGCAAGACCACAAAATTGGCATGTGGCCTTCTCCAAATTACACATTTCCTTCTATCTCTACTTCCCCGTTATCTTAAATATGAAACATATAGTTATTCACGAGCATGCTGGAAGGATTTGATGGGCGGGTCTGAGAAGTAGCGGAAAAAAGGGACACAAGTTCAATCTGCCCTCACTGATGCCATGCCGAAGCCATTCTTCCATTGCTATCATGACAACAGCAGTCTTCGCATGACTCATGGCTAAAGAGAAAGGCATTATATAGCTGATCTCAACACAACAGCTACCTGGAAATGGAAAATGTGAGAAAGCTCCCAAAGATGAGGGAGGCTGGATGCTGAGCATGTAAGGGAGTTCGGTGGGACTCTGCCTCGCCTCTTCACATAGAAACAACACATGCATTTCACTCCTTAAAGTCCCATATGCCACCTGAAGCAGGGCCCATTTCCCTTATTAAACCTCTGTCATGAATGGCACATGGCTCAGGAATAAGAAGCTCAGCTCTACCGGGTGTCATACTCATGTCCCACAGGTGAGCTGATGGTTCCCCTCACCTTTGACATCTGGCTGCTGTTTCTTCACAGCCACTGAGTCACATGAGACTACATACATGAGATTCTTGGTCTTTGTGGACATATGAGTTTACTCGGAAACTTGAGAGCTATTTCTCAAGTCACTTCAACACTGGAAGCCAAACACTGTCATTCCATCTCTTCTTGCTGACAACTGGGGCTGCAGGAAAACTCTTCTGACTGGTGACATTATCCCAAAGGTCACAATTTTAAGGACTAACCAAGAGTTATTTCCCAAGTCACTTCAACACTGGAAGCCAAGCACCGTCCTTCCATCTTTTCTCGTTGACAACTGGGGCTGCAGGAAAACTCTTGTGACTAGTGACATTATCCCAAAGGTCACAATTTTAAGAACTAACCATAAGTAGATACCTTTTGCACTGCCTCTCAAAGACCTTAGTGTTTCATGGTGATGTTGTTAGTCAGAAGGGAGCTTGAAAATGGAATCAGCTACTTGGAAGAAGTTGATGTGCTAGGGAGACAGCTCAGAATAAATGGAAGGTGCAATATCTGATGTCCCTTGCCTCAGAATTCAAACAAGACTTATGTTCCAGAAAGCAAATTATGTATCCATTGAATTCATCCACTTTCAGACCAAATCAAAATGATAAAGTCTAAAACACTAAGTGTTCAAGGGTGCCCCAGACTTAGAATTTTTTTCTGGCAATATAATCACCCCTTGGAAAGGCATAATCCAATGACTGGAGGCAGTTTTCTCCCTCTAAATGCATCCCAAAGGCTTTTAAAATCTCCAATAAATCTCAAGTATGATTGCTGTAGTAATCTTGGAAACAGCAGACATAATGCACTCCCTGCCCCAGTAACTCAGATCAAAAAATGAAAATAAAAAACTCAAGACAGCAGGAAAACATCTTCCCAATGCTCACTACCACGGGGTGTGGGGATATGTCTGTGCCCCCAGGACCACGGTGCTGTATCTCCCCTGAGCTGGTCGAGATACTCTAGTTCAAGTTCAAGTTCAAGTTCAAAGGCTACCCCTGCTATGGCCGCCAGTCATCCCAGGGGTCAAGGCATCAGAACTGCTGATTTTTCCAAAAATCTTCTCAAAGCAGCAGCAACCGCAGCAGTTTTCCTACAAAGCAAACAAAATGTGAATCTTGTTAATTCAGCAGGGCTTTTAAAATTATAATTAGTTGGTTGTGCCCCTTAGGAAAACCACAGATGATTTTTTTTTTTTACAACGTATGTATATGTGAAAAAAAAGAAAAGAAACCTCCTGATGGATTTCACTGCTTACCAGAGGTTTGTTTTTTTTTTTCTTTTTAGTTTAAGCAAGATATTTTAGTACTATTTGCAGTGTCAAAGGATAAGTCCTCTTTGTTTCATCTGAAGTCCAGCTCCTTTGTCCATTGGGTCAGCTTGATTCCAGCATCAGAGCAAGAAAGTGGGGTCAGGCGTGGGAATATTTCCATTTGCTGTTCAACCACATGTGACCTGGGATACCTCAGTGCTTGCTGCCCTCCGTCATTCCTGTGGACCTGGGGAGCAGTTCTACATTTATGTCTCACAGGCTAGCAACAGATTCAATGGAGGCAACCAGAAACAGCACACCACCAGGTTGATTTGGGGAGTGTATCAAAAAGCCTCTAACAAATTGCAGGAGATTTACATGCCTCAGTTTACACTGTGAATTATACCCTGTTCATCGGGTCTGGAACTCTTTCTTTTTCCACAGGAATAATATTCAACCACCAGATTTTTAAAATCAATATTATCTCAAATTTGGTTTCCCTCATAATATATCCTGCCATAAACCCATCTTATCCTGGCAGGAAATATCACTGTGAAGAGTAATCTTTCTTTTTAACTTCTCAAATGAGGTTGCTCCCAGAGTTAGTAGCTCAAATTAAAATTCTAATTTTTTTTTTTAAATAAGAAAATAAATAAGGAAGCATGCAGATCATGTGGATCTGAAATGATTCTTCCTTAGCCTGTAGTGAGACCCAGGTGAGTTTCTGTGGTCAGATGGGGCTGAAAGAGGCCAGGGATGGAAGGTAAGCCAGCCCACGAGGTCAACAGGAGGGGGCTGAACCCTGTTCAGGAGGTCTCCTCAGGCAGTCCTAGCAGAGGTTGTATCTAACTGTGCCAGTGGGAACAGCCCAAATACATCTGTCTTTGTCCTCTGCACACTGTCACTGCTTGGGTTGTGGCTGTCTTCCATTACAGTGGGTTCAAAGCTCTCTCATTGGCGTAGAAGGACTCTATGCCCTCCCACCGCCATTTCCTCCCATTCTTCCCCTGCCAAACCCTGGCGACAAGTCTGCCTTGGAATGCAACCCCCATCACACTGTGAGTTCATTCTCACCAGGCCTCAAAAGTGTCTCCAGTCCTTATGGTGGGAAGGTGGTTTGTGGCAAACCCTCGGGGTTTGTGGTCACTAGGGACAAAACTGCTTCTGGGGATAATGGGGAGGGAGGGGAGAGGGAGGGAATGGACAGGCACCACTGCCTGTGGATCTAGGCACTTGAGCTCAGGGTGCAGGCACCCTACTGAGTGCCACAACCCAGGCCTGGGCATGACAGCCACAACCCAGGCCTGGGCATGACAGCCTTCTCTATGTTGTCACAAGCAAAAACATTACCTCCTATTCTTCTTATAACATTAATTCTTTGCCATTTTTGAGAAACAAGAATGGTGTTTGTAAATAGAACACATAAGCCTTCCTGGTGGCATTTCATAGATTTCTAAAAAAGTAATAGACTCCTAAGTACATGAGTCTTCCTACAAAGGCAAGTGTTTTCCTAACACTGGTTGGAGACCTGTATTTTGATGTACCGATTTATTTATACCCTATCATATTCTACAAGAGATCCAATGCTGCTTTCAAGAATATACACAGTCAGAAAAACAAAAAACTCAGGTCCAGAAAAAACACAGATCAGAAGGAAGGATGAAGGCCCATGGGCAACAGGAACTTGCAAGTCTTAAGCCCCATGCAGTTGTGAACATGAAGCTGCAAAAATGGCTGTAGCCCTCCTGCCTGAGATGATGGAGCTGACCTGATGGTCAAGGGCCCCAGCAGGACACAAATGTTGAGACTTTTCCAAGTTCCCCATAGGAAATGCACGATTCTTCCTCCGTCTCCTCCTCTAGGGCATACATTAGGCTAGATGGTATTCATGGTAAAACCATCTCTGAATAAATCCATCAGAACCCTCAGTGGAGCAGAGTACACACGTCTGGATGTGTGTGTGAAGGAGTGTTCCTTGGGTTCAGAGAGCAGGCCAGATCAGGAGGCAGCTCAGGGAGACAGCTGAGAGAAACACGCTCTACTGTTTCCTAGCTGCAGGGACTTGGGGGAGTTATTTAGCCTATGAGTCTTTCCGACTCAGTTTCCTCATCTCTACAAAAGAGGGTATTACTTCCTCTGTTTTCCCACGTTGTAAGGTCTCCCTGATACAGTTTCTGGTTTACTGGTACCTACTGAGCTAATTATTGGGTCCCTAGCCTCAGGGCACTGCTTGGATGATCTCGGGAACCATTCAACAAACCTAGAAAGTGAGACTATCCCCAATCCACAAGCTTTTTCTATTAAGAAACAACAGACTCGGGGTGCAAACACAGCAGCCTGATTTTGCGAACTCCCACCCAACTAAAACACTACCTGCTTCCCACATAGCCTGTGAACAAATGTTCAGTTTCTTTTTTATCCTTGTCTCTTTAGGCTTGTACAAATACCTCTTCAGGAGAAGACCCACCACCAACCTTTCAAACAGGAGTCTCCTGTAGACTATTTGGTCACAAGGTCCTGGGCATCAGAGCTGTAATTTCTCTTCTTCTAGGGAAACCAGAAGATGTTGGAAGGATTAGGACTGTTTTCATCAGCTCCTGACTTATAAGAACACATAAAGAGACCATAGCTTGCTACTGAGTAGAAAATACTCTTCAAGAGAAGTTCTTGAAGTTTAAAATGCCGACCGCCCCCGGGAGATCCAGTAGCTGCCCTCAGAGTCCAGCTCAGAGTCCATTGTCCCCCAAAGCCCCATCACCATGACCCTTCCTTCTCCTCTAGAGTCAGAGCCAAACAGCTCAGCACCTAATCACTTAATATTTACACACGTGTGCTTTATCAAAACTCACTTTGATAGAGCACAAGAGCCAATACTTGTGATACTGGGGCTACAATTACTACAAAAATGATTTAGGGCTGGGCACCTTGACTCACGCCTTGAGGCTGAGGTATGAGGATCACTTGAGGCCAGAAGTTGAGGCTGCAGTGCACTATGATGCTGCCGCTATACTTAAGCCTGGGCAACAGAGCAAGATCCTATCTTTCAAAAAAAAAAGTCAGACATGGAAAAGGTTTCTTCCAAAAATTTTCAAATCTGTAGATAAGGGCTATTTAAATGCTGCCAAGAGATTCAAGAAGACAGAGAAAGAATCTCCAATTTGGAGATAGAGAAAAGCTGTGGCATTTAATATAGGTCTTAAACAATCACTGGGGTTTGGGCTGCTCTGGAAGGAATAGTAGGGACAAAACTGGGGAGCTGAGGACATATTGGAGCAGGTCCTGAGTTCTGAGTGGGTTGGACCAAGATTTTTTAATCAGAAAGTAATTATGGAAGTAATGATTTGACGGAGTAAGGAAGAGAATGAATGGATGCTGGATTTCAGGGTTGTTTTACTTGTTTATTGAGAGAGGGGAATGAGCGAAGGTTATAGCACTGTGCATAGAAAGGAAGGGTAGAAGGCTTCTTAGGTCCAGGAGAACAGAAACCATGTCATACTTGCTCAATTTTCCTTCCTCTGGCCCCTGAGAATTGATGAATTCTGCAGTAGGTGCTTGCTGAGTTCTAGTAGGTTTGTAGCTTAGGAATGCTTTGTCCCATCCCAGCTGAGAGTATTTTCTGATGGAAGATGGTCACATATGGATACTTGGGGACATAAGACAGGCTAGGAACCACTGCATGTCACCTTGAGCATAATGCAGAAGGTAGAGAACTCCAAGACCTTAATTTCTAAGAAAAAATTCCTTCTTAAATTTAGTGACCAATTATAGGCAAGCTCAAGTGTTAAAGAAACAGAAGTGCTTTTAGGCATGAAACAAAAGAGGTAAATAAAAATGTATAAAAGGTTTTTAATAGAATTTAGGTTGAAATGGTAAATAGTTTTGGACCAAAATTAAAATTTCAACATAAGTAACCTGGGCAACATGGTAAGACCTTGTCGCTACAATTAAAATTTTTTAAAAAGCTGGGCATGGTGGCACAGCTACTTGAAAGGTTGAGGAAGAAGGATCTCCTGAGCCCAGCAGGTCTAGCTGCAGTAGTTGTGATCGCGTGCCACTGTACTCCAGCCTGGGTGACAGAGTGAGACTCCAACTTAAAAAAAATTTTTTTTCAACATAAGGTAAATTCTGATTTGATAGAACATATCAGAACCAAAATTATTCCAAAAATAAACCTAGTGAAAAATTTTAGTCTTAATGTTTCATTGAAAAATAAAATATATTAAGTTTAAATACTGGCTTTCAATAACACTAAAAGTGTACACTACAAGAATGGTCCCAGAAACATCAGCCAGGTCGCCTGCACCCAGCAGCCCATGCCTGGCAGGACAGCAGAGTGAGGAAGCTCTGCTTGGAGTCAGAGCTCAACCCCTGTCCTTAGTGCCCTCAGCTACATAATGGGGATAAGAATGATGACGGTTTTGGGAGTTGGGATGAGAACTAAATGAGTTAATGTGTGTAAAGTGGTTAGAAGAGTGCCTCCACAGGACTGCATAATTATAACTTTAATAATAACTAGATTTATAAAATGGAGTTTGTTTTTATAAAAGAAACCCATCACCATTCTTGAAATATTTATTTGCCTTAGGTACCAGCAGAAGAATGGAATAACAAAAGGTGATTTTTTGGTGGTTGTTGTATGTTTTAAAAAATATTTTTAAGCACTTTTTAAACTGTATAACATCATTAATTATCTGCTGTGGTTTCTATATTGTGTGCCACGTCAAAGTGTATTTGGACACCAATAAGCTCAGATAAAAATACATTGGTGGAAAATTGGCTCAAAATAGGCTGGTAACCCTAATAAGCAGTTTATGTAGTCTGGGTGAGGTACCCACTAGGTAATAAGTCTATTTTTACTTGACATCAGTACCAATTATCAAGGAAAGGTATATTCAGACACAAATAAAACACTGCTGATGCTGGATTTAGAAGTAAGGTTAATTTCAATAAAAACGATGTGGAAAAAGTGAGTACCTGAAGCACAGTCATTCCAAGGCTTGTTGGTCAGTGAAAAAAAAATCCATTCCAAAACCCCAGGGAGTGTGGAGGATGAGGAGCAAAGGTGGAGGAAGTGAGAATGCATCAGCCTGAGCAGCGCCAGGGTGTGGCATAAGCCATGCTAACTGATGCACACAGCAGACAGGCCCTGGTAAGCCTGAAGGCATGAATGGCTTGTTGCCTCTATGTGTATCTGACCCAGTTGAATATCCTAGTGTTTGGTAACATTACTTAGGTATTACATATCTGTTTCTGAGTTATTTATGTACACCACAACTCTTTGGATAGAGACACATGAAGGAGGCAGAGAAGTCACTTGGGAGGCTTTGTAGTAATTTAGGCTTTATATCCCAGGCAGGATAACTCTGGGAATCGAGAGAAATTGACAGACTCCAGATGCAATTTGGGAATATAATGTATACAATTTGAGATAAATTAAACACAAGATGGGGCTATTGAGGGAGAGGAAGGAAATGCCCAGGGTCTAGTTGCCCAGGGTCTGGTTGAAGCTACTCCATGGGCATCCTTCACTAGATGCCCAGGGTCTGGTTGAAGCTACTCCATGGGCATCCTTCACTAGAAGGATGGTTGAGGGGGAGGTAGGGTAGAGGGAGATGAATTTGGTTTAGAGCTGAGAAGATTCAGGTGGAAACATCTCATCTATACGTGGATCTATGAATCTGAAGCTTAGGAAAGACATCTGTGCCAGAGAGACAGATGAAGGAACTGGAATATAAATGGTAATTAAGGCAATGGCAGTAGATAGAGATTTCACTGTAAGAAGTTTCTGTAGAGTGTGGACTCAGTACTCTCAATACTCAGTCTAAGGTTTCTGGTAAGAGTGTCCTGTACATAGACTTGTATGCATATCTGGATCAGGCTGAGCATTAGAGTTAAGATTTGGTGCATTAGAGTTAAGATTTGGTGCTCAGAGCAGAGCTAACAGGTAAGCATCAAATTTAGAAATCTGAATTCTGTTTTAACAAGGCATATTTTCCTCACATGGGGCACCAAAAAAAACAAAAAGGCGTATTTCTCTCAAATAAACATTGGCATATGTCGCTAAAACTTTATGTGTTTATAGGCTATATATATGTGTGTGCACACACAATACAATGATGTAATTTATTTTATAATGGAGATAATAATTTAATAAGAAAAAGTTATTGTGAAAATACTCTGTAAAACAACATAATTTACATTATTTTAAAAATACAAATTTCTCAATAAAAAGTATCTTTAAGCAATTTAATACTAGCAAAAGATTTGAAGGCTGTAAAAAAAAAGGAATTAGAAAGAATCTTCTTTAAGTTTAAGATGACTGTGGCATCTGATTATCAAAAGATAGGCAGACAGGAAAAGAAGAAGAAAAATAAGAAGTCTTGGTTACCTGTGCGTTAAGTCTGGAGTGGAGCTTGTGGTCTGACAACCAAGGGTGCTTGAGAGCTTCACTTGCACTTATTCTCCAACTAGAGGAAAATCCAGAAGGCTATTAGAAAAAACACACCAAATAAGGCCTGCACCTGCTATTCAACCTCAGCTCTGGCCTCTGCCTTTGAGAGACCAGATGGCCAAATGCCAAATTCACAGTCAATTCTAATTCTTTCACTGGAATTGTGTGTTATCAACAGTGGTGTAGGCCACCGTCAAATCCAATCACAATCAAGGTAACAACATTAGTGAGAAAAGCAAGAAAAATAATCAAAATTCTTGTTAATAACTGAACATCTACTTTCAAATATAAATAAGCATGCTTGTGATATAAAATCTGAGCTTAATAAATTGTACTCCTATCAGGCAGTTGAAGAATAAATGTATATTTATTATTATCAGAACAAAATGGTACCATGATTTCTAATGATTGCAAAAGTAATTCCTGTATTAAAACTTTTGAATAATAAGTATTATTGACTTTTGAATTAAGAAGATTTGAAGAGTTAAATAGGCAGGGAAATACAGTTAATGTAATTATGAAGAGAGAGACCATCAGACACTTTTGTGAAGAAACAATATCCTTTTGGAGCTAACAAAGGTTTATAAAACTTTGGAAAAATATATAAGGAAGAATAATACAGATTATATGATATTCTAATTCTAAGTTCTATAAACTTGTTTGATACACTAACATGTATTACATTAAAACATAAACTTTCAAAATAAAAACTTTAAGTGACTACAACACTCTGAAGTATGCTTCTGAAAAATATCAAGGCAGTAGTTTCAAGTAGTCATAAAGCTTGTTTGTAGAATTGCTTCAATATAATCTTTTCATCAGATACCAAATACTTAAGAGATATAAGTATTTATTTATTAAAGTCAGTGTACTTGTTGACAAGATCACCATGATAGAAACCAAAATGGGCAAAGGTATTTTTATTTTGTTGATAGGGGTCTCACTCTGTTGTCCAGAATGGAGTGCAGCGGCATAGTTTACCTCAGCCTTGTCGTCCTGAGCTCAGGCCGTCCTTTTGTCTCAGCCTCCCAAGTAGCTAAGACTACAGGCACCACCACCAAATCTGGTCAATTTTTTTTTTTTTTAGTGACAAGGTCTTGCTCTGTTGCCCAGGTTGGTGTCAAACTCCTGGCCTTAAATGATCCCCCTGCCTCAGCCTCCCAAAGTGCTGTACAGCTGTAAGCCACTGTGCCTGGATGCAAAGGTAATTTTAAAGACACTCTTGATCTCTACCAAACTCAAATGAAAGTGTGGTTTTGCTTAGTATCATAAATTTTCAGTATTGTATCCCAGAGTACTCCAACAGCTGATTGAGCGAAAAAAAATGATGATTCCTGCACTCCAATGTCAAACTTTTAAAATCTATTAAAAAGCCGGGCTCGGGTGGCTCAGCCTGTAATCCCTTACCCTTGGGAGGCTGAGGTGAGTGGATTGCCTGAGCCCACGGGTTCAAGACCTGCCTGGGCAGCGAGACCTCATCTCTACAATAAATC